ACACTTGGCCTGATGGCTGTGATTTTGCCTTAGCTTGGAGCAGCGCCTGGGAATGCTGAAAAAAAAAACTTGTTCTTTTCAAGAAATAAAGCCAGTTATATTTTCAGCAACTTTCAACTGTAATTCTTTGGATGAATATAGTCCATTTCTTCCCAAGAACTCAAAGGAAAGTCAAGGAAAGACCTTCACAACCCCTCATTAATTGCAGCGTCTCTGCTTTGCAATTTTCACCTGCACAAGGGATGAAGGAAATGCTTCCTCTGCAAGTTTTCTGGGTCTCACAAGAAAGGCAAATCCAGTCCAGAAAGAAGCAACTTCTTTCAAGTAAGGCCTTCAAACTAAGACCTTAATCAGTGAAGTTTTTGCAACGTTCCTTCTTGCACCTGGTCTCTCAATGAATTCTTCAACATGAACAGAACCTAATGTTTACACAAAACAAAACACTTCACAACCTAGTGGCTTAGAACACAGTGCCATATTATCTCACTATTCTGTGGGTTGCCTGGGCTCACTCACAGAATATGGCTATATGTAGCTGGAGCATTCTGTTGGACTGAGGTCCAAGATGCCTCACTCACTGTCTTGCAGCCGGTCTGGCTGTCTACTGGGTCACCTCAGTTCTCTTCCATATGGCCGCTCAACATCTAGTAGGCTAGACCAGTTCCCTTACATTCAGGCAAGGGTCTACAAGAGCAAACCGGAAGCTGCAAGATCGTCAAAGCCTAGGTTCTAGCTCACACCATGTCATTTATACCATATTTGACCAGTCAAAGCAAGTCACACTGCCAGCCCAGATGCAAGGATGAGGGAGATAGACTCCATCTCTTGATGGGAGCAGCTCAAAGCTTTGTGGCCATGTTAAACCTACTGCATTCCACTCTCTGGCCATAATTATTTTCATTTCTCTTACATACAAAATATGCTCATTTCCTCCCAATATGGGATAAAGTCCAATATTTCATGATTTTCATCAGTCCAGATAGGGATGAGACTCAGGGTGTGGCTTTTAAAAATCCAGAATATTGTGACCTAAGAAACCTAAGTTAACTGCCATCCGTACATCCAACATACAATGGTGAGGCAGGGACAGGGTAACTGCAGCAGACACTTCCTTTGTTAAGGGACTAATAACTAGTTCATAGTAATTCTGAAATCCAGCTGGGCACATGTCACCACTTATCCCTTGCCGGGGCAGGGGATGTGAACCAGGGTTCATTTCTGCTACCTGGGAGTGGTAGTCTAATCCATTACTCTTGGCTCTGCCCTTTGGCCTCTTGGCTTTGACTTTCTGCAAAAGTCTTTCTTTTCCATAAAACAAGTCCATATTTGCAACTGAACAGTTTTCTCATCTTGCTTCATGCCCACTGAAATTTGGTGGCTCAGAAGTCTCTTTTCATTTTGATACAAATTCCTTAAAATTTTATGGACTTTCTGTTGCTAAGAAAATTCAATGGAGAGAGAACTGTCTTTTCAACAGATTATGCTGGTAAAACTGGATACCTGTATGTCAAAGAATGATGGTGGATCCCTTCCTCACACCATACACAAAAATTAACTCAAAGTGGATCATAGACTTAAATGTAAGAGATAAAACCGTAAAGTGGAAGGACAGAATTGGAGAAAATATTTGTAAATCGTAGATAAGGGACTAGAATCCAGAAAATATAAAGAATTCTTATAACTCAACAATAAAGAGAAATAATCCCACCTAAAAGTCCTTAAAAAAGGATTTGGTAGACATTTGCTGAAAGAAAATATGCAAATGGCCAATAAGCATGTGAAAAGATGCTCAACATTATTTATCAGAGAAATGCAAATCAAAACCACTATGAGATATTACCTCACATTTCCTATCATTTGTCAGAAGAAAAATAATAAGTATTAGCAAGGATGTGGAGAAATTAGAACTGCTGGTGGAAATGGCAAGTGCTGCAGCTGCTTTGGAAAACAGTCTGCCTTTTCTCAAAAAATTAAACAGTTACTGTTGAATATATAGTCCAACAATTCCACTCCTAGGCATATACCCAAGATAAATGGAAATATACGTCTATGCCAAAACTTGTATATAAACTTCCATAGTAGCATTATTCATGATAGCCAAAAAGTGGAATCAGCCCAAATGTACATCAACTGATGAACGGATAAACAAAATGTGGCAGACTCACACAGTGAAATGCTGATACATGCTACAACATGGGTGAACTGTGAAAACCTCATGCTAAGTAAAAGAAACCAGACACAAAAGACCATAAATTGTATTAGTCCACGTACATCAAATGTCCAGAATAGGCAAATCCAGAGAACAGAAAGCAGATTAGTGGTTGCCAGTGGTGAACAGAAAATGACTGCTAGTAGATATGGAATTTCTACTGGGGTGATGAAAATGTTATGGAATTAGACAGTGGTGATGATTACACAACTTTGTGGATATACTAAAACCTGCTAGATTATACACCCTAAAGGGTGAATTTCATAATATGTGAATTACATCTCCAATAAAAATAAAATTTGTGGGCTTTCTATTTATCAAGTTATAGTCTAGCCTATTAGATGAAAACCACACCCAGAATTCTTTTCAGGACAGGTCCTCTTTACTTTGGGTGTCAGAGTGCTATGCGGCAACACCCTGAAGATTCTTAAAAGCCCTTTTGTCTTGCTACGAGAGTTTACTTTAAATATTTCTAAGGTCTTAATAAAGAATTATACTGCTAGACCTTTAGTTTGATCTTTTTCTCGAGGCTATGACTTATTTGGAGAATATTTTGCCATTACAGATACTAGAAGCGGGAAAACATTTTATTTTCCAATCCAGAATGTTCTAAGCCCTCTGTATCTCCTCAAAATGCTGCTAGAAAACTGAACACTCCCTCCTCTTGTTCATCTATCTTGTCCTGCACCTTATTGTATTCAGCCAAATAAACAAACAAATGGCTCATTGACACTTCTAGCATTCTGTCTGGAAATAACCTTAACTAGATCCATGAGTTCATTTGGTACAAATTCTCTTTTCCGGGTTATGTAGGCAACAATTTTGCCAAATGTACCATCACTATATAACGGAGCTGAGCTAGTCCAGCCTTGTGGCTCCCTCTTTCTCCAAAAAAGAGTCCTTAAAAAGAGTGGGAGCTTTAGGCATTATTCCCAGCACTGGGAAATAACTCCTCAGAACAGCTGATATCTAAGCTCAGCCTATATTCTCCCTCCCACATGAGGTCCCGCTCATACTTATCGTATATATAGACAGAACAACTGGTCAGCAGTGTTCCTCTCCTGGAACACAGCCCCAAGTATGTACAGCTGAACCTCAGTTCAGCCTGCCTTTTCTTCCATGACTTTTAGTCTATTCCAAAAATTGACCTGAAGTCTTTGGGCCTTTTAGATCTCTCCTTTGTACCTGCTTTCAAATTTATCTGAAATATCTTGTCACTTTTTACTTTGAAATATTTTTTATGGGAAGTTCACAAAAGGTATACAGTATGAGCACTGCATGGAAGTTAAGTAGTATCCGAGCATGGAAAGCGTGCAGGTATAGGGAAGGCTTGTAACTCCCCTTCTCCAGAAGCCCAAATAAGGGAGGCTGCAGCCCAAACTTCTGACCCTGTGGGAGTCTAGGCCCTGACGTGGATAATGTGGAGATCAGCTTTGGAATTCCAGGAAGGCATCTAGAAATTTAGAAATTAATTTCTTTGACCAATTAAATTTACTGAAAAAGCAGCCAACATATTTTTTAAAATGTTCGCCCTCACTATTTTCAGCCATCAGAAAAGGAAACGGGGACTCTGCTGGTGGGTGTACAAACTGATCTCTCAGAAAGGTAATTTGGAAATATTTACCAAAAATCACAAATTCCACTCCGAAAAACTTATACTGAGGAATAATCAGTGATGTACCAGTAATATTCATTAAAGTTTTATTTTTAGTAAGGAAAAATTGAACTCATATGTCCAACAATAAGGGACTGATTTAACAAATTGTGGTTCATTTGTACCATGCAGTTATTAAAATGATGATATACGATATAAAAATTTTTTTATATCGTATATCATTAAGTTATATCACATTGTTAAGTGAAAAGCAGGCTATAAATTAATATACATATACACACATCACACATATAAATAAATACACGTACACAAACACACACACATATGACACCAATTTTGAAAATATTTTAAACACAATGTTTAAAAATATTAACAGTGGTTACCTATAGACAGAAACAATGTTAGAATTTTTTTCCACTCTTTTTTGTATTTTCCACATTTTCCCGATTTTCTGCCATGGGAAAAGATATTTTTTTTCTGGGAGTCTGTACTTAGTCATTTTCACTGTGTCTTATTTTCATAAGTTTTGCTCTTTCTTCATTTTTGATCCCAAATAAACATGAATAGCTCAACAGTGGTGGCTCTAGGGCAGGGGTAAGGGAACATGGCTAACTGTGTGAATTTTCTTGCCAATATTTTCTAAATCAAGGGGCCGTCCAATAAATCATGCTATTGGAACACATGAGAAAAACCACTGGCAATGTCTTACTTAAGACTCATTAATTTAAACAGGCCTAACAGCAAAGACATTTACCAAGAAGTAAAGAAATATCTTTTTCTATTTATTGGAATAATTAAATAACCAAGAGTAAAATTTGTAAACATATATAAAAATATTAAAAAATTAAAATATAGTAAAACTATAAAATAAGTATACAATTAAAAATACATTAGCTGAGCAACCTCAAAACTATATAAATATAGGATATTTATGAAATTCTTTAGAGATGTACATCTATTCTTTGAATAAAGTTTGAAATTTGTTTGAATTTTCAAACTATGGAAGGAAAACGTAAATAATAGCTCTGTCCAATTTATAATTATCCAAAGAGAATGATTTTGTGTTATTTCTTGCTTGTCTTTTCTAATACCCATTCAATCACCTAGGGAGAGAAAAAAATATGATTATGGTACATTTCTATTGGAAACACAAGTGACAGAAAAAGATATTGTTAAAATTTCAAAAGAGTATGGTAGAAAATTTAAAGCAAAAAATAACCTGTCAGAATCTTAAAATATATATTATCTTGGAAATACATTTTATTAGCAGTTACCAGTGGGGACAGGGAAAGGGGAAGGGGCAATATAGGAGTATGAGATTAAGAAGTACAAACTATTATGTATAAAATAAGCTACAAGGATATATTGTACAACACAGGGAATAGAGCCAAGATTTTATAATAATTAAAAATGGAGTATAACCTTTAAAAATTGTGAATCACTATATTGTACACCTGTAACTTACATAATATTATACATCAACTATACTTCAATTAAAAAAAAAAACTAAGGAAATGATTATCACACACACAAAAAATCAGTAGAGCGGTTACCTCCAGAGGTGATGCAGTGGGATATGGTGGGGAAGGGATTCTTTGGGGGTTTCCAAGGTCTCCACAATATTTTATTTCCCAGGTTGAACAGTGAGTGATCCCAAGGATATTCTCTTTTAAAATTATTTTTTTAATTGTATGTGTTTCTTTGCATATGTGCATACATATTACATGTTAGATCATGAATTTTTAAATGGAAAAAAACTCCCACACTTTATTTTCTTGCTCAAGAACACTTTTTGCTGAACTTCTGCTGTGGAATGCAGTAGTGTTCTCACTGGACAAGATGAAGGTTCTACTCTATTTTCTCACCTTTATTTGAAAATGTACTTTCAAAGCATCACTAAAAAGAAATTAAACTAAACTTTGAAAATAGCTAATCGAAATGGATTAATTTTTCCAGCTCTTTGGATTTCTTTTTTTTCTGTTTCTTTCTTAACATCAGTTTAGAAGCTCTTTTGTTAACAGAGAAATCTCTTAAATACTACTAAAGATTCTGCTTGCATAAGTCTATTATTAACTATTTTAAAGAGTGGTCATAGGGACAAAGTTGAAAAGACCACTCACTAATTCTTACTGCATATATTACAGCATCATAGGTACTAACCTGCAATAAAATAGCAATTTAATTGAATGTAGTTTCTTGGGAATAATTTATTTACCTGTATAACATTGCTGCTTGCTGTTTTCTTCATTTCTTCAAATAGACCCCTTGAAGTTTTAAGATCCTAAACATAACAAAATACAGCAGTTTAGGGCTTCCCTGGTGGCGCAGTGGTTGGGAGTCCGCCTGCCGATGCAGGGGACACAGGTTCGTGCCCCAGTCCGGGAAGATCCCACATGCTGCGGAGCGGCTGGGCCCGTGAGCCATGGCTGCTGAGCCTGCGCGTCTGGAGCCTGTGCTCCGCAGGGGGAGAGGTCACAGCAGTGAGAGGCCCGCATACCGCAAAAAAAAAAATAATAATAAAAATAAAAATACAGCAGTTTAAATCTGCACATTATATTACAGAGAACAAGTCATTATTAAATAAACTTGAGATGATCCTAATCATTCTGTAAGTATCAACGTGAAGAGGGAGATACTACAAAAAAATCAAAGTAACAGGTTATAATTTAGTTCCATCCTGAAAGGTCAAAGTACTCTAACCAAAATACATCCATATATACATAAATCCATGCCACTCTAATCTCAAATACTCAATGGCACTGACCAAACCTAAGCCCCATCCTCAACTATGAGTAGCCACATTAACTTCATTACTCAGGAAATGAATATACACTTTATTTTTCAGATAAAATAACTTTTTTCTCTCTCTCTTCTTTTTGGCCATTTCATTCCACAACAAAGAGGGAATGACACAGGAAATAAAACTGAAATCTCTGACTTGTAAAAAGGTAATGACTATATCAAATTATATTATAAAAATTTTTAAATCCAATTGTATTAAAAAGAAAAAAGTAATCCTCTGCTGCACTTCCAAGCTATGTTCCATTGAAGTAGTCATTTTGAATTCTTTAAGCTCTTTCTCTTATTTATACCTTCATGTTTCTAAATAATAAGTTTATACTGTTATTTCGTGATTTAACAGTTCTAGACAGTGATTGCTGTTATCCCGGATTCAGGTCTCTGAATTCGCCCACCTCCCTTCTCTTCCTCTCAGTAACAGCTGCACCACAATTTTTTGATTAGTAAATAGTCAATGTTTGCATTTTATACCTAAGCAAATATAGTTCAATCCTGAGCTAAGTAATGTATAACGGTTATAATTTCTCTTTCATCTGTTTTGTTTATCCTGTAGTTGAACTACGTTTGCTTAGTTTTCCATGTGTATAATCCTACCCCCACCCCACAATGCTGTGAAAGACTGATTAAATGTACAGCAAAGTTCTTCAAACACTCAGGGATACTGGATAATCACTCACTTCAGCTATTCGTTTTTGTTTTTGTTTTCTTAATTGTATTTTTTTAAACTGGAGACCGTTCTCCTATAGCTTGCTCCAATTTGGTCCAATTGCTCCCTCAGCCTGGTCCCATTGGGACTTATCTTCCCCAGTCTAGGTTAGTTTTTCTTTTATTTCTTGATTCAGTCCCTTGTTCTATTGAATTTCATCTTCTCACAGATTTGTCAAAAGGGTAAAAAAATGACAGAATTTTTCAGACCTTCCATGACTGAAAGTATCTGTACTGAATCTTCATACCTGACTGACTTCTAGACCAGGTATAAAACACTAGGTAAATCACTTTCCTTCAGAATTTGAAGATACTGTTCTACCTTCTTCTGGCACACAATGTTACTATAGAAAATTCCAATGCCACTCTTATTGATTCTTTGTATGTAAACTACTTTCTCTCCTGGGAAGCTTTTAGGAAATATTCTCTCTGTCCCAGGAGATACGACATTCCACAGTGATGTGGCTTGTAGAACTGTCATCCACTAGGATGGACAAGCTTGTGTGCCCTTTCCAGCAGGAGGAGTGCGTCCTTCAGGTCTAGAAAACTTTCTGTTATATTTTTGAGTTTTCTCTCCTCTAGTCTCTATTTTTGAAACTCCTATTATTAGCATATTGGATCTTTTGGATTAATTCCCCCATTTTCTTATCCTGTGTTTAATGTTTTTACCCATAATTTTATCATTAATACTAATTTCTGGTAAATTTCTTAATCTCAACTGTTCAGCCTTTCTATTGTACTGATTTTATCATATTTCTAATTTTAAGAAATTACAAATTCTTTCATGTTCTATAGTTTTTGGAAACAGCATCCCATTCCGGTTTTGTGCACCCAATTATCTTCTCTCTGAGACAATATAGTTTTTTATGAAGTTTTCTTCAGCTTTCTGCTCCTTCATAGTTCCCTTTGTTCCTTCATGTTTTGGCATCTGCTGTATTAGAAGCTTTCCTCAAAAGTATGCTAACTCTTGACTGTCCAGTCATATTTTAAAATGAGATAGTAAAAATCTTACCGGAAGCTCTGTCTGTACACAGCCTGTGCATTGGTATCTTTACAAGGTAGGGGAATAAGGGGCCAGTTGGACTTTTTACTGTGGCCTCCAATTTTTTTTCTCCAGAGACTATTTCCTGCATTGTCATAGGGGTGGGGCGGGGGGGTGAGGATAAAACTATGTATAATATACTTATCTGTAGTTAACATTGTGGGGGAAAAGCGCGCAGAGCAAACTGAAGGCTCCCCAGTTCACTCTGTAGATCTTTATTTAACTCCTCTTTTTTTTCACCTGGCACCTTGCCCCTGCTTTCCATGATACTTGGTCTCCAAGACCTGAGCAGGTCAGAGCCGGTTGTCTGTTGAACTGGCTTGCCACTCACAGGTGTCCCCAGGCAGACATTTAGGCTGTCATTTCTTCTACTCTGTTATACCACGCTTCCATGTGGTTTTTTTTTTGGTTCAACAATGTATGAAAACACTTCTACATTTCTCCTTTCCTCTTTTCTTAGTTTTTGTACTTTCAATACTGTCTTTCTTGAGAGATTTTAGAAGGGAAGGGAATCGAATGCATGCGGTCCATCTGCAGTTTTAATCAGGAACCCATATAAAATTGTGATTCAAGTCAGAAACTCTGAAAACTGGAACTAATCTAACACCATCTAAGTTTTACAAAATTGTCATCTGAATGGCTGATCTGTCCAATGTCTTACAACCAGCTGATAATGGATCCAAAATTAGAAGCTGAGTGCTTCGATACTCCCTCCAGTGGTTTCACTATAGCCTATAATTACTTGAATGAGTTGAATAAAGTAAGTGGAAGCTTATTATCAACTTAAGTCAAAGGCTTGTTAGGGAAACACGGAGGATACCAGTTAAAGTGTAGTTTTCTATATATGAGAACTAAAATCAAATAAATCAAGTATAAAAGTTTTGACTCCAAGTTTTCTACCTCCATTAAAACAAATCTGGCAATAAGCTATCAGTGTAAACAATACTCGGTCAATATTATCTCGTGTCAAACAGGAACAGGAGAACTTGACCTCGATTTTGCCATCAGGAGAGAAGACACTGTACCTGTAGATAGAACTTCGAGATCTCAAAGAGACGTTGGCTGCAAGCCGTGAAACACTCGTGGGCCTCAGTAATCCTGTGTTTCTTCAGGGTTTCAGTAACTACTTCTTTCAATATCTTGAACAGAACACAGTATACAACTAATATGTCTTGGAAAAGGTACAAACATATTATTTCAGCTTTAGAGTTGAGTTCTGTGAATCACAGAGCCATGTAGCTATGCTAAAGCTAGATGAGCTCATTAAGACAAAAGCATCTAGAAGAAAGGAGATCTGAAACAGTGACACGATCACACGTGTCGCAGGCTATCTGTCAGGAAGAGAGGACTAGAGTATCTGAAGAGAGGAATTCATATCCTGAGTTCTGAATCAAAATCTGAGTGTAAAAGGTACACACAGCAGGGATATACAGGTGTGTACTTACTTTTTATTATGGAAAATTTCAAACATTGTAAAGAGAATATTTGTAACAAATCCTCATCTCGATATATCTACTACCAGTTTCAAGAAGGATCAATTTGTGGCTCTTTCTGTTTCACTTATGCGCCCCCACTCACTTTTCCATTATCCTTCTTGCACTGAATTTTTTTTTTCCTCCATGTTTTTTGGCCACACCGCACAGCTTGCAGGATCTCAGTTCCCGGACCAGGGATTGAATCCGGGCAAGGCAGTGAAAGCCCAGAATCCTAACCACTAGGCCACCAGGGAACTCCCCTGAATTATTTTAAAGTAAATTACAGATACCATTTCATTTCATTCATAAAATTTTTAGACAAACATTTAAAACAAATCAAATGAAGAAATTTCTTCCCGTGCAGAACTAAGGGAGTCAGGAAATAAATCTTTACCCGTGTGTGTTTCTGTGATCTTGATTCCTTACTGGGCCTTGATGTTTTTGATTCATGCACACTTTTTTGACCTGAACTGGCATTTGTAGTGACTTTGGGAGTTTCATTGCTAAGAACTGGAAGAGATGGACAAGTCACAGATAATGATCTCTCTGCCCGTGGCTTTCTGGATGTCACTGCATGATGATGATGATTAGTAATGCCACTTCTCTGAGAAAGAAGAGAATCTGAACTTTCAGATTTCACAAGTCTAATGGGGGGGAAAATATAAAAATGCAGATTAAGTGAATCAAGAATGAAGTCCACTCTCTGTCTTAAATGTTACAACCATAACCATTGACATATAAACCCAAGAAAAGCAAACACAGTTTCTTGCTACTACTGCCTTAAATAAGCAGTCAACATCATATTATACAGTTGCTCCCTTAGTTCTTCAAATGAGTGACTAGAACATGGACGGCAATGAATAACATTCTAGGATTTCAGCTAATATTAAAAGCTAATAGGAAAAGCAACTAGCAACATTACTGTCACCCTCCCCGTTAATTTACAATTTCTCACATAAATCAGGGATGGCACTCCAGGCAATGTTATTTATAGATCCAGTACTCATCTGTCAAGTACTTATACTTTTCTATTAAGATAATTTTAATGAAGAAACCATAATAATCATGCTTGTTGTAGCTATGCAACTACGTGAGCAAAATAAATAACAGTGTTAAAACAAACAGAAATAAAACTATAAAAGTAGCTCTTGTTTCAGTCTTTCTAAAATGTTTAAATTTCCTGTTACAAGATAGGGTCTCATATTTTTCAATTCTGTTAACCTAGAGGCCACAGTGTACTTTCTTGTCTGGAACACATATCTGTCAGTCACAGCCAGAAATAAAAAATATTATTACAAAATACAGTATCCGGGCTTCCCTGGTGGCGCAGTGGTTGACAGTCCGCCTGCCGATGCAGGGGACACGGGTTCGTGCCCCAGTCCGGGAAGATCCCACGTGCCGTGGAGCAGCTGGGCCTGTGAGCCATGGCCGCTGGGCCTGTGCTCCACAACGGGAGAGCCCACAACAGTGAGAGGCCCGCGTACCGCAAAAAAAAAAAAAAAAAAAAAAAAAAAAGTATTCTAAATGTTAATGGATTTGCTTTTTAGCTTTATCGCATGTAAACAGTACCATGAACTTGTAAAGTCCTCATGAAAATAATTTAGTTATTCCCCATCAGGGAAAAAGTATTCTAATAATTTTCACTGTTTAAAAGAAGATTTGAAAGTTTCACTTTAAGATATTTGATTCTTTTTGAAAGATTTACATATAATAAGAATTTAAGGTTTGTTTTAGGTGTCAAAGACCTAAATTTGACAAAGATTCTAAAGATATATAAATTCAATAGAAATTAGAGTGTTTCTCTCATAAGCTCCTAATTTCTGTTCAGGTATTTGGATATCTTAGTTAGCTAGCAAATAAATTAGCTAGAAAGATCTCATTTTTAATATATTATTATGTAGGCTTTAAAGCTATATTTTATATGAAACAAGTTGTTTTAAAACGGTACCTCATGGGAATTTCCTGGTGGTCCAGTGGTTAGGACTCCTTGCTTTCACTGCCATAGCCCAGGTTCAATTAAAAATGGTACCTCATGAAACCCCTTGTTTAAGGGGCCAGTGTAGGTAGGAAACAGTGAGAAGAGAGCTAACAGAAAAACTGCATCCCTAAACACCCTCTTCAACAGAGCAGCTCAGCTGCTTAATCTATTGGATAAGATCGCCAGTGTTAAATGGCTTAAAAGCTTTACAACCCATAGTTGTGCTGATGGACTGTATATTAGCATATAAAGCAAGAAACAATGTGTTTTTTCCAAGTCATTTCTTTGTATAACTTATAAGCATAATAATCAACTGCTCACAATACAAACACAATTCCTGGTATGAATGAATTACATTAAAATCTGCACAGGGCCTCCCTGGTGGCGCAGTGGTTGAGAGTCCGCCTGCCGATGCAGGGGATACGGGTTCATGCCCCGGTCCGGGAGGATCCCACATGCCGCGGAGCGGCTGGGCCCGTGGGCCATGGGCGCTGAGCTTGCGCATCTGGCAACGGGAGAGGCCACGACAGTGAGAGGCCCAAATATCGCAAAAAAAAAAAAAAAAAATGATTGAAAAAAAAAAAAAAAAAAAAAAAATCTGCACAGAAAGCAACTTAAAAATCTGAAAGATTAATTCAATTACCCTCGGACTAAAATACTTTCTCTCAAGATACTATCTTTATGTACTTAATATACCACCTTTTGGGGGGATAAAGGCAGTTCAGATCTTTTGATCTCCTTTTTACTCGGGAGACTTCAGTCCGGAGTTCACTTTGTAAAGCTTCTCCATCAGGGACACTTCCAGGCTCTGACAAAACTGCTGGAGACGGAAGAGGGCTCAGTACGGTAGGTACTGGAAAACTTTCTCTGGTGCATGTAGTTTGCGTTTCATAACGAATAAGACGAGACTGTAGTTCTGAAAATCCCCCGTCTCTTTCTAATGCTTTTCGGTCATCCAAGCAATATCTAAACAAGAGAAAGATCTTTAAAATCAAAGACTCCATGGCAGCCATGGGCTTTTCCCTGCCAATTAGGGAAAAGCAAAACATGTACTTAAAAAGTTCTTACTAAACTTCCTAATAATTGTTGGAAGGTTGAGTGAACGGCCAACTTCCCTCACAAGTTCAGTTTTTTCCAGCCTGCTACACAACATGGCAAAAGATTAAAAAAATTTTAAGTACAATCTGATTCCTCTTTGACTGTTTCTGGGCAACAGATTAAGTTAATCCTCTGGCTTATTTTCAAAAAAATACAGTTGCTGTTTTGATACTTTTTAAATCTCTACCAACCTCTGATTCCTCAGCATGGCTGATATGTAATGACGTGAAATGCTGACTTCTGTTAGAAAGAACAAGTTTATTTTCAACACAAAGATTAACAGGGTATAAAGGCATTCTAAACTGGCTCACCAAACACAGCTCAGAACATTTTGAAATTTCCCTTTGAAACTCATTTGCACCTTACTGACTGATTGACAAGTTTTCCTTCAAACACTTCGGCTGTGTGTGCATTGGGTTTCTAGCTAAATCTGATTTAAGACATCAATGAGATGTTTGCTCAGTGAATGCTTAAAGAAATCCCATCTTAGGGACTTCCCTGGTGGTCCAGTAGTAAAGAATCCGCCTTACAATGCAGGGGATGCGGGTTCCATCCCTGGTAAGGGAACTAAGATCCCACACGCTGCAGGGCAACTAAGCCTGCGAGCCACAACCATTGAGCTCGCACCTCAAGTAGCGAGCCCACGTGTCGCAAACTAGAGAGCCCACGCACCCTAGAGCCTGCACGCAACAACTAGGGAGAAGCCTGTGCGCCACAACAAAGAGCCTGCGCTGCAACGAAAGATCCCGCGTGCCTCAATGGAGATCCTGCGTGCCACAACTAAGACCTAACGCAGCCAAAAAATAAATAAAAATAATAAATAAATGCTCTGATAAAGCTTAAAAAAAAAAAAAAAAAGAAATCCCATGTTGTTAAGTACAACAAATAAGCGTATCAAGAAAATCACCAATGAGATGTGTGACCTTGGAATACCCTTCACATTCTCCCCTTCTACATCAAGGAAAGAGTTTCACATATATGATGATAGGACTTTAAACATTAAAACCTTTTTCTGTTATCTGTCCTCTTTACTTGTAAAATTCTAAGAAGTTCCTTAGAGTCAGAACTTTGGGTCTATAAGCTTTTAGTTCAACACTCAAGGAGTGTATCATTACCCCAACCTGATTGCCTGACGGAGGTTTTCTCTTTCTCTTGTGACACATATTTGATTTCTAAGAGTATAGACTAGAGAGCCAGACTCCCTGGATTTAAATGCAGCTCTACCACTGTGTGAACATGGCCAAACTACTTAATTTTATCTATGCTACTGCTGCCTCTTCTGCAAGATGAGATTCGTAGCAGTTATCTCAAAGAGCTATGGTGAGAATCATGAATGGGTACACGTAAGCACTCAGAAACAGTGCCTGGAACGTGCAAGCAAAGCAGTCAATAAATGTATGCTGCTGCTATTATCATCACCATCATCATCATCAGTGGCTTTATTTTCTACCACAGCAAATCTTATGGTATGCTGATGATATGTAGCTCAGCCAGGATTCAGACCCAGGTTGGTGACTTCAGAGTCTGACTTTAACCAATTTAGTATGCTATCTATCTCTCATGTAAAGTGTAAGGGTCATCTTACTCAGGGGTCAACCCACGGCTGAACATTAGAATCATCTGAAGAGTTTTTATGAAATACTGATGCCCAGAGTTTCTGATTTAATTGGCCTGGGGTTGGAATCAGTCTTGGACATTTTTTTAAAAAGCTACCTAGGTGATTCTAAAGTGCAGCTAGGACTGAAAAATCTCTGATATAAACCAACAGTTTTAATTTAACAGGAGGGAAAAATGAGCTCCTAAGTTATACTGTTAACTGGTGGCAGAAGAGTGACTAGAACCTAGGTCTCTCAATTCTCTAACATTCTTTCTCTAGTCTGTTGTTTAATAAAACACATTTCATTAAAAATCAGCCCCAACCCTAAGGCTTACTGATGAGTCCTATTTCTATCCTGGGTGATTGACAGAATCTAGAATACCACTAAGAACCATGAATGTTAAGGAAAAGTTCTAGGAGAGAGGAAATGTAATTCCTGATTGGCTTACAGGAAATTTTTCAGAGAAAAATAATGCATAGTTTGACTCCACATGCATATTTTTTTCTACTCTAAGATTTTGATTCTAAGATGCAGATTTTTTCCTTCCAGTTTTAACATCTCTTAATCACAGCTGTTCATAATGTCATGCCTCCCACTGAATTATGTGCACTGTGCATATTGACTTCAATTGTCATTTAAAATGTCTTCAAAGTGATTTTACTATGATGTGGCATCAAAACAAAAAGTGACTTTGTAAATAAGAAAGGAACAGAAACAGAGTAGCAGGGTGCGTATTTGATAATAGTGAAGTAAATATTCACTGTTGGATGAATGAGTACACTTCCACATTTTCTTGCAAAACAATAACCAAATGCTTTATGTGTCCAAAGAAGGAAAAATACCTATCAGAAGATGAAGCTATCATTGTCCTATAACTACAAAATAGGCAAGATACTGCCTAGCACACACCAAGCAATGCAGATGAAAGCCGGAAAAACTGCCAAATCTCTTGGAATACGTGAAAGAAAGTTCAGAGCAACAGGAGGCTGGTGTGGCCAACTGACTCTCACAGTTTGACAGTAGAATTCAATTTGTTGTTAAAGAAAATGGTGCATCTTACAATCCATGGTATCTCACACTCCAGGATAGGAGACAGAAGTGAAAAAACAAGTCAACTGTGGATAGATTTCATTTTGCCTTAAGTAAACATTGATCTGTACTTGAGCAGTTTATATATTTCTTCCAAATATTCCTTATGTTTGAGTAGAGGAAAAGCTCAAGGATTCCAAAGCCTCACGGCAATGTAAGAAGAGAGAACTTTCTTTGCAGTGTCATATTTACTTTGAAATTTCACTTGAACTTTGCTTCGAGTAGAAACATAATCTACATTTAATGTGAATAGGCCCTCACACTATAAACCCAAATCCTGAAAAAAAGCATGTTTCTGGATTCACTGTGCTCACCCTCCTGCAACTTTCTTAGTTTGATCTCAATGGCCCCAGATTAAATTTACAGTAGGGAAAATGGAGTCACGGCTAAATTTGTTTATATGCTTATAAGGGCAGGCAATTTCACTTTTTAAAGTCCTTAAATTCTTATTTCAACTGTTTTTTTCATACTCAGACAGACAGAAGTTCAATGTTGTTGCATGTATACATATGTTGTTCCTTGTTATTATTGAGTAGTACTGCTTTGTATATACACACCAGTTAATTTATCTATTCTCCCATCGATGTACACCTAAGGCTATTTCCAGGTTGTGGGTATTATGAATAAAACTGTTCTGTGGGTTCTTTTACCAGTCTTTTTGTGGTGTTAGGTTTTCATTTCTCTTAGGAAAATGACTATTAGAAATGCTGAGCCAGGGAGTCTGAGTAAACTGTTCAGTTTTATAAGAACCTGCCAGATTCTTTTCTGAAGTACATAAATCACGTTATACTTCCACCAAAAATGTTCAAGGGTTCTGATTGTTCCATACGCTTGTCAACACTTATCGGTCTTTTATTTTAACCATTCTGGTGGCTGCACAGAATTTTATTTTATGGATGCACTATAATTTATTCAACCAACCTCCTACAGTTAGACATTGTTTCCAATGTTTCTTATTTTAAATAACACTGTGAAAAATACCCTTGCCTAATAACTTTCAGTGTAAACGCTAATTTTATCATTAAGTGAAGTTAATCAATCTGATATTATAAACAACTGCATGGCTTTTGGTAGATTACCGAGCAGCCCCCCAGACAGGTTGTAACAATTTATACTCCAAGCTGGCTTATCCATGTCTCTTTACCTCCACCATAATTTTACGGGTGAAAAGGATTCTCACTGTTGTTTCAATTTACATTCTTAATGTAAATTTAAAAAGCTGACTGGTGAAGAAAACTCTTCACGTGTATTGGCCATATTTATTTCCTGTTTCAAAAACAAATGGTTTAAGATGTTGCAAACTCTTCCATAGGGGCATTTATCTCATTTTCTTATTGATTTGTAAGCATCCTTTAATTACAAAGAAAATTTACCTTCTCATTTATGTTCAAAAATATTTTCCTCAGCTTAATCCATACTTTTAATCTTGTTTCTGTTGATACCTGACATTACTGTTTTAAAAATTAGGACAAATCTATCACTCTTTTTTGATTTCTTCCTCTGCTAGAACAGATTTTCCCCTACATTTTATGCTAGTTCCTTACTTTCACAGTTTTCCCACTTTTAATTCTTAATACATCTGCGATTTATTTTGATATTCGGCGTGAACAAAGAATCATTTCAAACGGATTTATTTTTATTTGAATGCTTAATCAACATTCTCACTACTATCTACGGAACATTTTTCTTTTGCCCTCTGATTTGAATTTCTTTTTCTATCAGATCAAATTATCATGTATTCTTGCTTTTTCCTTGGAATTTCTACTTAGGTCCAGCCCCACATTGTAATTACAATAGCTTTATAATAAAATTTTCTAGTAATATGATACAATTTATCTCATTCTTTAAACAAAAGAGAGGAGACTTCTTACCAGATAAATTATAGAATTATTTCATCAAAAGGTTCCAAGTTGACAAGAACTGTATTAAATGTTTACATTGATTTCAGGAGAATTAACACCTTTATAACACAGGATCTTCCCACAGAGAAACAAGGCATGTTTCCCCTAAGTAATCAACATTGCTTTTAGGTCCCCTAATACATATTATTTGTAAATTTTCCCATTCTACATTTCTTACAAGAATACTTCTGATATGTATGACTTTATCTGCTATTTTGAATGGGATCATTTTCATCCTGTTAAAAACTGGACATGGCTGGTTTAAAGGAAAACTTGTGTCTTTTATATGTATTTTATAACTGGCTACCTTACAAATTCTACCACTTCTAAGTCTTCCAGGTCTCTTCTCTGCAAAATAAAAAGCAAATACAAAAAACCTTCTGGCATCCGCTTTACTACATGTAACTCTTTTTAACTCTCTAGTTTTCCTTATTTTAACTGATTGGCTAGAACATACAGAAAAATGATTAAAAAGAAAAAATTGGTCAGAGCAGGTATCTTTTTCTTGCCCCTGACTTTAACGGAGAGTTTAATTTTGATGCTCAAAAATAAAGTAACCAGGGCTTCCCTGGTGGCACAGTCGTTGAGAGTCTGCCTGCCGATGCAGGGGACACGGGTTCGTGCCCCAGTCCGGGAAGATCCCACATGTCACGGAGAGGTTGGGCCCGTGAACCATGGCCACTGGGCCTGCGCATCCAGAGCCTGTGCTCCGCAACGGGAGAGGCCACAGCAGTGAGAGGCCGGTGTACCGCAAAAAAAATAAAATAAAAAAATAAATAAATAAATAAAAAATAAAGTAACCAAAAATTTTTGCTTCTAGTATCAAATTTGACATAACTTTACATATTCTTTAAATAAAATAAATCTTATTTAAGCATAACAAGAAACCTAAACATTCCTAGAATGACCTGTTGTCACTAAGGTCTTGAAAATTTAACCTAAAATACATTATCTCCACCATTCCATTTCTTGTCCTGGTGAAAATGGTAGACGTGCACATAACCTCCAGAACTCCTAATACCTCTAAGCAAGAGAATCCCTGGAAATTACATTCATCTGGTCAATTAAAATTCCATTAAAATGTACACATAATTAACATGTTGCAAATGAGAATGCATTTTATCTAACAGTTTCTGAGCAATTACAATGACCAGGGAATATTAATGTGACCAGTAGTATAAATACACATTTACAATGTAGGGACTAAAATAATGTTGACTAAAATATCTAGTAACTAATAATAGGATGTTTAAATGTAAAACTGATTAATCACCAAATAACTTTTTTCCAACAGAAGACTAGTTGTGTATGTACTGCTTAGTTTTTTGTTTTTTTTTGACATACTTTCTCTTTGCTTCTCTGTCCCAATTTATCATTTTATTACAGTCACTCTTCACACTCACCTAAGATAAGCTACATCAACAACACACCGAAAAGTAAAGTGAAAATAAAAAACTCACTCAATTCCATGATAATGACATACTGAGGCTTTCTCAAAAGGTAAACCCTGAAGTTTCCGAGGACTAAGTTCTGGTGTCAGGACAAAAGTCTTTTCCCTGAAACAAAAAGTTTTTCATTTGTATTTAAAGTTTATTTAGTGACAAAGAGAAAGCTCAAGAAACTGTCTCAAGAAGGAAATCTGACTTCCTTCTCTATAACTGGATCTCATATGGGACAAAGAAGGAAATGAAGTGAGGTTAAGCCTATGGGTTTTGTCACTTACATTTTCTGTGTCCCAAGTTTCGGAAGTTACCATGCTACTTACTTCACAAAACTATTCTGAGAAATGGTTAAATCAAGAATAGAAAATGATTTCTAGTGGAAGTTCAAGAAACAGCATTATTCCTGAAGAATATTTTTTTCTTGGTGTAGGAAAATGTTTATGAATTTAGCTAAATTCTTTTTTCCAGGGGAATAAAGTCAAACTCCAATCTTTAGTGACAAAAGAAGTATTTACTTCCTCCTATAACCACATGGGGAATCCAGATTTTTCTTTGCCTGGGAATGAAGTCATTTTGACACCTACTTTAAGAATCCGTGACCTTTTAAATATCAGAGGATAAAAAGACTAACTGCTGATTTCAGTTCTTCTTCTGAAGTAAGTTTCCAATCAGCAGGTATGTTGGAACTAACCATGTGGTGAGCTTACATAAAATATTCATGCTCTACCCCTCCACACCCAGACCTGCAGGGGTACATCAAAATCTCAGGAAGGAGGCTGCTGCAATTAGGTTAAGCTCTCCTAGTTGTTCTAATAAGTGCTCTCCTTCTCTGCCTGAGGTGCGAGGTACTGTTCTAACGAACTGAATCCTGTTCCTAGAGCTCAGAACAGGTTAGATGGGAATGGGAGAATTATACAAGTGGTGTTTACACAGTTAAGAGGCAGAATGAAATACCAGGGGCTTGAATTCAGAAGACTTAGAAATGGTATACATAAAAACAAGTAGATAGTAGAGTACCATGAATAAATTGGCTATCACATTTTCCCCCCTTGGCTTTAGTAATGAAAACTGCCCACAAGCCACCGAAAATTAAAAATTATCTCGAGTACTAAGATAAGCGCTTGAAATTATTACATTAAAATGTAAGACATATGCAAGTTAATGAATCCCAAAAACCAGAATTTATATTCAATGCATCCATTTAAACAGTTCTGCATAAAGTAACATGAATAAATTGCAATGATCCCAGTATTTTGATGACTAATTATTAAAGTGAATAATTTTGTAATATAGAACTATTTAGGTACCCAGCATTTCACTTCTTTCCTTTGCCATGTTGTTGTCCATTTCTTATTTTAATCTCTCTCAGCAGCTCTATTTTTGTTTAATTTTACTCACACCTTGTTCTTTCTAAAGGAAACACTGTAATACATATGTATTTTGTCAATGTTTAATATTCCTCTGGCGTATATATAGGAGTCACTCCTGTACTTTGTTTAACTTAGTATTGCATTTCAGGTGGTTCTTTGCATGGGTAGACATTTAATAAAAGTCTGCAGGTCCTTGATTCATTACCATGAAAGCTCATCCTTCAACTTTAATTTTAATAGAAGATATGTTTGATAATGACACAGTTCTTTACTAACATCAAGGAATTATAGCAAACTTCCCTAAATAAATCACTGGTAAACTACAGAAAGAATTAACAGCATCTCCCCTAGACATTGCAGCTAGAAAGACATTCTGGTCAAAAAGAGTACAACCTACATAATCAGTTTTGGCAAACCCATCTGACTCTGCCAGTTCACGCTTAATGATTTGGGAGACAGTAATCCAATAACTAAACAGATGAAAATGTGTACATAGTTCTTTCCTTTCTTGACTCCCACAAAAAAGATTATCAATCTCTCAAAGCTATGAGAAAAAGAAAATTACTCTAAAATCACACTATTTTTATGTCATTAAGATCATTAAGTCATTAAGACTCCAAATTATTAAGATCCTCATGTTTTCAAAGTTGCTCCCCATCTCTCTCTCTTTAGTGAACACACACATGAAGGTAATATGCTCTAACATTAGTTTTGAGAGATAACTACCTTCAAATAAATCCTTTCCAAAATTAACCCTTAAATTCAATATTTGCCAAAACAAGCTTTGAAAAAGTAATCAAAATGTTCTATAATTTTTAAGGTCCTTTGGAAGGTTCTCAGAATAATGGATTAGAAAAAAGAAATTGGGGTAGTGAACAAATTATTCAAATCTCACAAGTATACGATGCCATAATTTTATCTGTAATTAAGTAAACTTCAGTAACATCCAGAATTAATCAGTAACTTAGTGGAAGTTGTCTTGGAAGTCAAAGTAGTTGTAAATTATTCATGTAGACACTGAGTTCTTCCTTGGTAATGGTATAGCTTTGAAAGCATTTTTATTACACGTCCCCATTCTCTTCAGTTGAAAGGCTATTTTGCTATTAGACATAACTGACAGTATCACGGTAAGTAGTGGCAAAATCAAAACTGGAGAGTGATACAGAAAAGAGAATTTTTAAAAATATTTGCAAGTCAAATTACAATTTTTTCTTAAAAAGTATTGCCATCTGTATACAAAGTAGAAGCTGATTTCTAAGAGAAATACACTGAGGTTGCTTTTATTATTCCTGTTTCCCAATACTACAAAACAGTAGAACATTTGGCTAAGATAAAATGTGAGGATTAAGGCCAATTGAGAAATGCTTGGCTCAAACTTGTAAAATTTGTCAAAGTGTCACAGAGCATCAATTAACTGAAGAAATGAGATGCAATGTGTTTTTTAAATGATTCCTTAAAAATTAGTTGAAATTGTAAGTTTATAACTTACCCTTTTTGAATCTGTAAAGGTTGAAGATCTCCAATTGGTAATCCATCTGAGGTAAAGAATTTCAGCAATTCTTTAGCATCCAATAATGTGACTGAATCCCGTGGACCCTCTTTGTGGCCCAGTAACTGTTCAGATGAACGAGGTAGTGAACCAGTTCTGAGAAAAAAATGTTATGCAGATTTACTGAAAGTGGATTAGAATTCACCATGGTCAGGAAAAGCTGCTATGAGCAGAAACCAGAAAAATACACACAAAAAAACTGAAGATCTACACATTTAAGAAAGAAAACAAAGTCATTGCAAATCACTTAGTATCAAAGTATATTTTTAAAAATCTGTAAAAACTTGCAGTTACCATATCAACAATGCTACTATTTAAGTAAAATAAACATAATTATATTCTTTTTCTTTCTTTTTTTTTTTGCGGTTCGCGGGCCTCTCCCGTTGCGGAGCACAGGTTCCGGACGCGCAGGCTCAGTGGCCATGGCTCACGGGCCCAGCCGCTCTGCGGCATGTGGGATCTTCCCGGACCGGGTCACGAACCCATGTCCCCTGCATCGGCAGGCGGACTCTCAACCACTGAGCCACCAGGGAAGCCCCATAATTATATTCTTTATAAATGATGATTAATTATTTAGTAGTGCAAAGTCATCAATTCTATAAAATTTAAATCTAAACTGTCTTGTATGTTCCAAAACCTCACAATATCGTAAATTTTGAGGGCAGATACTGAATGTTGCAATTATCTATGAACTTGAAAGATTACTTAAAGCACACCATGAGACCAGAATAGTTCACACCATGATGGCCTCATGTAATTTCAGAACATTATGGAAAATAGAAAATTCTAAAAGTCCCAGACAGGGTAAAATACCTATTAAGGAACAAAAATCCATGTTGCATCAGACTTCTCATTAAGATACGAGATCCAAGAAAATGCAGTTCTAATCTAGAAATGTATTCAAAAGAAATACCAGGATAACAGTTGTGTAGGTAGAAAGGGTCAGTCCAAATCAGAGTAGCAAGTCAGAGAGGTGCAAGAAAAATGACTTCAAGAAAAAAAAAAAAAATTGCCTATTGCAAATAACATAAGGTGCCAGAGAAAGAAGGATAAATGGTGAAGAGAAGTAGAGATGTTAATTTCCTCCCCTTTCACAATGGGAAGTTAAAATATACAATCTAGGGCTTCCCTGGTGGTGCACTGGTTAAGAATCTGCCTGCAATGCAGGGGACACGGGTTCGAGCCCTGGTCTTGGAAGAGCCCACATGTCACGGAGCAACTAAGCCCCTGCGCCACAACTACTGAGCCTGCGCTCTGGAGCCCACAAGCCACAACTACTGAGCCCGTGCGCTACAACTACTGAGCTTGTGCCCTAGAACCCACATGCCGCGACTACTGAAGCCCCTGCGCCCAGAGCGTGTGCTCTGCATCAAGAGAAGCCACGACAATGAGAAGCCCGTGCACCGCAGTGAAGAGTAGCCCCAGCTCACCACAACTAGAGAAAGCCCGCACACAGCAACAAAGACCCAATACAAACAAAAATAAAAACAAATAAATAGACATTCAGAAAAAAATAAATGATCACGGGCAAGAAATGCAAGTTCTTTTACGGGTAACCTGTCCTTTTCTCAATCTTCTTTCTAGATTGTCAGTTCCCTCCTAACCTATAAACGTCAGAAACCTTCAAGGAATGGTCTTAAGCCCTCTTTCCTTTTTCTACATGGTCTCACCAAGTGATCTCATCCACTAGCATGTATTTAGAAAAACCCTTTTAATGATAACTCCAAACTGACTTCCAGATTTCTCCTCTGATCCACCTAACATGTCCACTTGCATAAGCCACAGAGCAAACTTAGCATCCTTAAAGCAGAACTCTCGATTTTCTCCCCAAATCTGTCCTTACTCCAACTTCTCACCAATCTTCCCCAAACCATAAGTGACAACACCACTCACATGTTGTTCAAGCCAGAAATCTAAACTGTCTTGGATGCCTCTCTTTCCCTGTCCTCCACATCCAGTCCATCACAGGAAGGTTTTTTTCCCAGCTAAGCACCAAAACATATCCCAAACTTGTTCTCCACTACTACTCTAGTTAGAAATCAAAGTTATCTCTCAGCCTACAGCCTACAGCCAACTGATCTGTCTGTTCCTAGTATCCTCCTCCTACAATCTATTCGCAACGAAAGAGTAAAAGTTATTTTGCAAAATCAGATCACGTCACTCTTTGGTATAAAATCCATCAAAAGCTTACCAATGCACTTACAATATAATCCAGAGTCTGTATGAAAACCTATAAGGTCCTGTGAGACTGAATGTGCTTCACCCATTTATCCATTAGGTCTCAGCTCCAATGTAACCTCCTCAGGGAGCCATCCCTGACCATCCACCTCATCTCTCCACGCCCACAGCAAGTAAAATTACTCCCCTTCAGTCCCTTTGTTTCCGTCATTACACATAGAGTAATTTATAAGTATTATATTTACTTGTCTGGTTACTCCTCTAAGAGGAGAGCCTGACACGTAGTTGGTACTCAATAAATTTGTTGACCTCTATGAACAAAATGATGTTATAGCAAGTCACAAATGTTATAGCAAGTCATAAATGTTATCAGCAGAGGATCTAAAGATAAAAATGTGATTTGGGGGAAGTGAGTTGGAGGAGGGCAATGCAAGAGAGCCAAATCCCTTCTCTTTATTCCATTATTCTACCACTCAACAATTATATACCGAGTGCCGACTATGTATTGAACCAAAAACAAAACAAAAATAAACTCTGCCTCTTAGAGATAGTTAACAGATACTATACAAACATAAAAATGTAAAACAGGAAGAGTTTAAAATAGCTCAAAGAAGAAGAGTACTTTTACTTCATTTTACATGTTCCTGTATTGTTTAAATTTTTCTTACATATTCATATACCCGTGTATATCTATGGAAGATGGTCTGGAAAGACATCCACTAAAATGTTAACCGTGATTATGTACACCTAGAAAGTACAAGTAGAAGGTAGAAGAAAAAGAGCATTTCGTGGACACACTACTCTGTAGTGCTCTATCTATCTATCTATGGATTTATAGTAAGCACATATTTCTTTTAGAATAAAACCATAAACTACTAATATCTCATAAATACAAGGATTAAGATTTAAAAAGTCATTAAAAAATACTGAGCTATTTAAATATTACCTCATTTTTTGTTTAGCTTTTTCAAAAGTTTCCAAATTTTGAAGAACATGCCTTTCTGGCCACTCCAGAGGATTGGTTTCCACTGGACTTGAAGAAATACGTTCCACTGGATTGGAATCTGAAGAGAAATATGTAAGTACTGAAAGGTATTAACATACTGAATTTTGCTATATAAAAATGTATGTAGATACATACATACATCGTGTATGTGTGTGCACATGTGCATGTGTATAAAGGCAAATTGGATTAATTGTACAGTACTTACCTCAGGCATTTATTAAGGATATCTCTGATGGCCTGAACTGTGCAAAATACCATAGAAAAGTTTTTTGGAAATGAAAAAAAAAATTAGTATTAAGCTTTATTTTACTATCTCCTCATAATAAAAGTTATGAGCCTGAATTCAGAAGATGAATTAGCACTGTAAAAACTCATATGGAATGAAAGCATAACTTTGTTATTTTTGTGAAATTAGTTCTAAATGGAAAGGAGACAACTCTGTGGAGAATATACTGGATATATTATGTGATTTCCATACTACAAAGAGGAATTATCACCAGTATCCTGAGAAATTCATATCTTTAAGAGATTACCGGACTTCCCTTGTGGCGCAGTGGTTAAGAATCCGCCTGCCAATGCAGGGAACACAGGTTCGAGCCCTGGTCCAGGAAGATCCCACATGCTGCAGAGCAACTAAGCCCGTGAGCCACAACTACTGAGCCTGCGCTCTAGAGCCCGTGCGCCACAACTACTGAGCCTGTGCTCTTGAGCCCGCAAGCCACAACTACTGAGCCCGCGTGCCACAAGTACTGAAGCCCGTGTGCCTAGAGACTGTGCTCTGCAACAAGAGAAGCCACTGCAATGAGAAGTCCACACACCGCAACAAAGAGTAGCCCCCACTCACTGCAACTAGAGAAAGCCTGCGCACAGCAACGAAAATCAAAAGCAGCCAAAAAATAAATAATTAAATAAATAAATTTATATTAAAAAAAGTGAGAATCTTTAAAAAAAAAAGAGAGAGATTACCTCATTCTCAAAAGTACAGTAATACCATAAATAACTTATGATGTTTGCAGGTAAAGTTTACTTTAGAAATAATTCTCACTATGTATTAGTGTAAGATGCCTTAACATACACATTTTCAAGTAAATCGCTAACGTTAAATGTTATTTTACCACTAATAAAATATTATATGTAAGGGTGTGCTTATCTTTCCAGCCAGTATGCTGCAATGAACTAACACTGAGATTGTTTGATAACACTGCAATTCTCATCAAAAACATACAGGGACACCTTCCATTCTCATTATAAATTATGAGTACATCCCAACTGCTTTAACACTGGCAAAATAACTAACTGTACTACATTTTGGATTCAAAAACTATCTGGTGTTTTAGGGCTTCCCTGGTGGCGCAGTGGTTGAGAGTCTGCCTGCCGATGTAGGGGACACGGGTTCATGCCCCAGTCTGGGAAGATCCCACATGCCGCGGAGCGGCTGGGCTCGTGAGCCATGGCCGCTGAGCCTGCGCGTCCGGAGCCTGTGCTCCACAACGGGGAGAGGCCACAACAGTGAGACGCCCGTGTACCGCAAAAAAAACACACAAAACTATCTGGTGTTTTAAATTGTTTGAACTATTACACACTAATAAACTGACTGAAAATTACTGGACATTAGCTATTTGACTAACCATCAACCCTGACAAAAATACCCATTTTATACTTTGGGGTCTTACAAAGTGATAATGATTTGGTAAGAAATTTTTGAACAAAAAAGAAAAAAATTAATCATAAATGAAAACAGAAGCCAACTGCATACTATTTTTCCTTTACTTATTAAACTATTTAGCCAGATAGCTTAAAATATTTTTAATGCCTATACTGGACTGCCCCAACCAAACACCATCCAAATATAGCACTTCCCATTTCTTAAGAAGGGTGGTGAAATACTATTTTATAGAATAATGAGCTTTATGATGAAATAATCTACTTTATTATGTTGGCATGGCTTTTCAAAAAAAAGTATAAAGAAAAAAATCATCAGCAGTTCTGAACAGTTACAGGCTGTGTTCACAAAAGAATACAAGCCATTTAAAATAAAAGTTAACATTAATTATTCCTAAATATTACAATATAATTATTAACTTTGACTATACAATCTACATAAATATAAGTGACACAGTCTAAATATTAAGGAATGGATAGGCAAACATTCATATGTATCATGTCTTTTGGGGAATAACTTAATATATTTCTTACAATAAAATGAAATACAATATTTTATTTATGTGGCTGGCAAGCAGGACACTGAGCCATGCTGACAATCAAAAAGCACAAAAGGAGCCTCTGAGAAACCAAATACACTGCTTCATTTTATTTATTAGTTTTATTTATTTTTTAAAAATATCTATTTATTTGGCTGCACTGGGTCTTAGTTGCAGCATGCGGGATCTTTATTTGCAGCATGCAAACTCTCAGTTGTGGCATGTGGGATCTAGTTCCCTGATCTGGGATCGAACCCAGGACCCTGCATTGGGAGCACAGAGTCTTAGCCACTGGACCACTGGGGAAGCCCTACCGCTTCATTTTAAAACAGTGTTTTAGGGGCTTCCTTGGTGGCGCAGTGGTTGAGAACCTGCCTGCCAATGAAGGGGATGTGGGTTCGTGCCCGGGTCCAGGAGGATCCCACATGCCGCGGAGCGGCTGGGCCCGGGAGCCATGGCCGCTGGGCCTGCGCGTCCGGAGCCTGTGCTCCGCAACGGGAGAGGCCACAGCAGTGAGAGGCCCGCGTACCACAAAAAAAACCCAAAAAAACCTGCCCTACAAAATCACAAATCACAGAAAACATAAAGGAAAGTAATATTTCAGATAACAATATGTGGTTAATGAATACAGGCCATGATAGCCTTACATTTCAAAATATGCATGAATCACCAAAAAAAGGTTATAATTGGTAGACTGTGTTTATTAAATAGGGCAAGAATTATAAACATACACTAGAAGATTCTTATTAAAGTATTTGAAATCAGAAAATTGTGATCTTATAGCATTATCCAGAAAAGTCATTTATGCAGTGTTTATGTGCCCCAACAGTCCCAGGTAAAGGACACTGTTTTTTGAGTTCAGGTATCACATTTGGCATTATGAAAGTCTTTAGCAAGTTATGGCAATGAGTAAATAAATGGTATGCTGACTCTCATTTGTTACACATGCTAGAGTTTTCACAAAAAAAAGAAAAAAAAAAAACAGATCAATAACCCTTACAATTGCTAATAACTCCTAGTGTGCATGGTTGCAAATAATGGGTCAGAATATGAAATATAATTGACCTTACTGCTTCTTTTGCTGTAATTTGCATGTAGGTGTACAGTTGACCCTCTGTATCCACAAGTTTCGCATCCACAGATTCAAGCAACCATGGATAAAAAATATTTGGACGAAAAAAAATTCCAGAAAGTTCCAAAAAGCAAAACTTGAATTTGGTGTGTGCTGGCAACTATTTACATGGCATTTACATTGTATTTATAACTATTTACATTGTATTAGGTATTATAAGTAATCTAGAGATGATTTAAAAGACAGGAGTAAGGAACAGAGCTGGGATTCAGCCTTGTTAGTATTGCTCCAGAGCCCATGCTGTAACCAAGAAGCCATGCTCTCTCACTTACTGAACATATCTTGCACTTACAAGCAACCTTATACTGTCTCCAACATCTTTCAGATTACTACGCACTATTTAACTTTGGTACTGATATTAACAATAGTGATAATGAAAATACAAACAACAGGTAACAATTTTTTGGCACTGATCGTGTTCTAAGTGTTTTACATGTATCAACTCAGTTAATCCTCATAATACCCCTAGTAACTGGGTAATATTATCATCCCCATTTGAAACATGAGGAAACAGAGATATGGAGAGGTTAAATAACCTGCCCAAAGACATACAGCTAACAAGTGACAAAGCTGAGATTTAAACCCTGGCAGTCTATCTCCAGAAGCCTGGGCCCTTAAACATGGCACTAGATGCTGTATTTATATTTTGTTTTCCAAACAGATCATAAGCCTGTAGAAAGCCAAGGACCCAAATTTTTACTTCTTTGTGTGCCTTCATGGCATCAAACAGAGAAAAGGCACTCAACAAACGTTATTATTAACTTGATTCTTTGGTCATTTTCTTATTAAAGTACGAATAAAAATGATTCGCACAGAATAAAAATAAAAAAATTATCCTGTACTTTTAAAATGCCAGGCAATCTTCAAATGCTTCTTTCTTAGGTCTTGAAAAGCTTCACTCTATTCAAATTCATCACAAGAATGGAAACCAGGAAAACAGAAAGAAATGCAAGTTAATATAGAAATTATTTCCTGCTCCCTCAGTAGAAGTTTGGTACTGTTCCTGCTATAATAAATGGCAAATGTGGAGCATCTTATTATATGTAGTTTTAACTATATTAAATTTACTGAGTAGGTTCTACTTTTTTTATCTTATGAAAACATAGCTTAATAGAAATCCATCCATTCTAGTAGCTCAGTAACAGTTGTAAGGGGAATCACCTTAAAGTGTTTCTCCCTCTGCTCAGAAACAATTATACTGAACATGCTTAAAGAAAGAAATTATCAGAGAATTTCTACTGTTTAAATGATGAAAAATACAGCTTATTATATATACATACATACTTGTATGTACAAGTATATATCACTATTAAAATTTATGATAGACTTTTGATTGATATAGTTTATTAGTTTTAATAATAAATAGCCATCATAAATGCCACACACAAAAAAGAACTAATGTTTAAAGTAACAGAAAACTTACCATTTAACCTATTGGAGGTGTTGTCTGTCTCTACTAGACTTGTTTTAGGGATAATAGCATCAAAATGATCGAAAAAGCATTCCCTTGTGAGTATTAATAGACTTTTGAGTTCATCCACAGAAAGTACTTCTGGCTGCTTTGCTAACTTTCTCCTTTCTGTAAGACAACAAATCCATATGATTCGCAATATAACTGTCATTTTAAAGCCTTGCAAGCTCATCTACTAGTCTTTTATGGGAAACATTTTCAAAAGTAAAACAAATGAATCTCTCCAGCAAATCAACATTCCTGGGTAGGCCTGTTTTCAATTTAGTCCCATTTGAAGGTAACAGTAGAATTTCCAGTTTTGTGAGATAAACAGAAATACAGTAACTTGTTAACACTAAAAGGTGACCAACGGTAAAGGCAGGTTTACGGGAGTTTTCAGGAATACACTGCAGAGCATGTAGAACAGCCTTATGTTGGTGTTTATGTGAAAATAAAACCTGTAAGACTTTCAGTTAAATGTGGTGGTTTGGCCACTTCCATCTATTTCTTCTCCCACCCAAAACTTAAAATCACAACAGAGGAATAAAAGAGGACAACAAAAGAAGACACAATAAATAGTGACAGTTTTCAACAAATTTTGGAAGATAAGATAATGCTGGAGTGGTAACTGAGAGTTTGCAGACAGAGGAAGGGTTAACTTGGGTGCCTGCAGAGGTATCAGGAAGGTCGTGAGCTAAAACAAGACTAGACACACATGGACGTATCTAGCCTCCAGCCCTCAAGCCAGATGACTCTGCTCTCATTTTTTGGGTAGAAACGGAAAAGGAGGAGTCTCAGACTGCAGAATGTCAGGAACATTAAAAGGTGGTACTGATGCTGGAGTTACAACTAAGAGATTAAATAAGAGTCTACATCCTGAAAGGTCAGACTCCAACCCTGGGGCCAAAAAGCTAGCAGCTACAAATGCCCCACTGAAAAGATTAAAGGATTCTCCTTTTCAAAAACGGAATGCCCCCAGAGAAAAGAGCTTGATACTGACATTACAGTGGAATTAAGGAGAGGAGTTCACAACCAAAATGTTGAATAGCTACTCCACCACTCTTGAAGCTTGCCAGGTATTACATTAGAGTGAGACATAAAATTTCCCACTTAGGACAGACAGAAAAAAAATCACTAGACATCTAAAGAAAGGTACTGAGGGGAGAAGGGACTCTGCATTTCCATGGTCTTATGTTTAGACGTGTAAGGACTTTGATTCAGTAATGCTCCCAGCTCCCCTTTCGCTCCCATCACTCACTGAGCTAGTCTGGAGAAGAAACTAGGCACGTTCTGATTAAACCTTTCCTCTCCAACTTTCATCTGAGCTAGCAAGTTCTTAAGATACACACTCTCTGCAATGCAGTGAGGGCCCTGCCCGGTCAGGGTTGATCTGCAGGTGTCCCGCTCTGGCTATCATTCAGCGGCTAAATTCAATTCTGGGTATATGTAGAAGAAAACCCACCAGAGATCTAAAAAGTCATATCCTTCAATTCAGTAATTTATCTGTAATTTATCTCCATCAGTGTGTTTCTTAAGTTTATTTCTCAATTGGTTCCAAATTTGGGAGAGGAAACAGGTATTATTTACTAGGCCCCTCCAAGCTAAAAAAAAGAGTCCAGGATGAAAAAGAGAGGCTAAAGCAAGCAAAAAGAAAAAAGGAGCCCAGCAGAAATAAAAACATTCCAGGGAACAAAAGAAAACTTGCCATAATTAATACTCTCGTCAAAATAAGAGAAGATACTATACTCATGAAACAAGTACAGGATGCTCTGATAAAGGAAGTCAATGAACAAGAAAATATTTTTTAAAATTAAGCACATGAGAGCTCAAATTTTTTAAAGCTGCAAGACATCCCCCAGAAACAAGAACAAAGAGACAATAATATGGAAACAGGAAGGAAAAGCAGGCATTCTGTCCAAAAAAAGCTGACATATAACTAATTAGAGTTCTAGAAAGAAAAAAGAAAATGGGAGAAAAAATTATCACAGAGATAAAAATTTTCAGACTTAAGAAGGTGAATCTTCTGTTGATATGGCTCATCAAGTACACAGCTCAATACATTGGAGAGGGGGGAAAGGGGAACACACACATTATGATTCAGAGTAAAGCTTCCAGAGACAAAGCTTCTGGAGGTAAAAGTTCTAGAAGGGGTAAAAACAAACCAAAAATAGGCCACCTCAAAGGATAAGACTAGGGCTTCCCTGGTGGCACAATGGTTGAGAGTCTGCCTGCCGATGCAGGGGATGCGGGTTCGTGCCCCGGTCCGGGAAGATCCCACATGCCACGGAGCGGCTGGGCCCGTGAGCCATGGCCGCTGAGCCTGCGCGTCCGGAGCCTGTGCTCCGCAACGGGAGAGGCCACAGCAGTGAGAGGCCCACGTACCGCAAAAAAAAAAAAAAAGGATAAGACTAGGGCTTCCCTGGTGGCACAATGGTTGAGAGTCTGCCTGCCGATGCAGGGGATGCGGGTCCGTGCCCCGGTCCGGGAAGATCCCACATGCCACGGAGCGGCTGGGCCCGTGAGCCATGGCCGCTGAGCCTGCGCGTCCGGAGCCTGTGCTCCGCAACGGGAGAGGCCACAGCAGTGAGAGGCCCACGTACCGCAAAAAAAAAAAAAAAAAAAAAAAAAGGATAAGACTAGTATGAGATTTGTCAACAGGAACACAGCAACATAAAACACAATGGGATAGGGACTTCCCTGGTGGTCCAGTGGTTAAGCCTCCGCTTTTCCACTGCAGGGGACACAGGTGTGATCCTTGTTCAGGGCTCCCGCATGCTGTGCCACGTGGCCAAAGGAAAAAAAAAAAGACAATGGGACAATGTCTTCAAAATTCTAAGGGTAAACAATTTTTAACCTGGAAGTCTATACAGATTATCAATCTAGTGAAGATATTTTCAGACATGCAAGAGCTTGAAAAATGTATACCCCATGAGTGAACTTTTACTCAGGAAGCTACTGCAAGATATGCTCCAACCAAACAAGAGGGGAATTCAAAGAAAAAGGGAGGACAGGGGGTCTAGAAAATAGGAGATTCCAAAAGAAGAGAAGAGGAAAGAGAAGTCTCTTAAGATGTCAGTAGGTCTAAGGAAGCATTTTGTCTAAAATACAGTAAAATATGAAACACTCCAGAAAAAAAAATCTATGAGAAATAAAAAGGAACTACTGAGTTTGAACATGCAATAAATTTACTGATAGATGTGTGGCAGAAATGTTGGAGGCTCTGGGAAAACATAACAGTATTTTGCCTGTACAGAAGAATGGGCAAATTAAAAATAAGGTGATTATCAACCAGAAAAAAAAAAGATTATACAAGAAAGAAGAGTTGACCATCATCATATACTACATGACTCAGCAGTAAACTTATAGATAGGTACATAGGTAGGTAGGTAGATGGATAGCTAGACAGGAAGGGAGGAAGGAAGGGAGGGAGGGAGAGAGAGAGAGGGAAAGAAAGAAAGAGAGAGAGAGAAAGAAAGAAAGAAAGAAGGAAAGAAAGAGAGAAAGAAAGGAAGGAAGGAAGAAAGAAGAAAGAAAGAAAGAAAGAAAGGAAGGAAGGAAGGAAGAAAGAAAAGAAAGAAAGAAAGAAAAAGAAAAGAAAGAAAGAAAAAAGAAAGAGAAAGAAAGAGAGAGAGAGAGGGAGGGAGGAAGGAGGGAAGGAAGGAAGGAAAGAAGAGGGAGGGAAGGAAGGAAGAGGGAAGGACAGAGGGAGGAAGATATGTTAAAACTAACCATTAGTTTAACCTCAATTCATGATTTCACTGTAAAGGATGGAAAGGGAAAGGGAAGTTGATGTGGGAAAGCTAAGTATTCAGTTCCATAGTTAGGCATTAAGATAATGTCTAAAACTAGTAAATCGAGAAATAACAGCATACATATGTTATTCATAAAGCTGGAGGAAAGGTCAAGGAAAACCAGCCGGAAGAGCTGAAGGCAGCTGCCTGTGGACAGACAGAAAGCTGGGGAGAAGGTGGGGCACTGCTGTTTTCCATTTTAGGTTTTTCAATAGCATTTGAAATTTTTAACTATACCCACGTACTACTTTTATAAAAATATTTCATTTTTAAAACACTTCTGAACTAATAACATTTTCTTCTATAATAAAATAGTGAACTATAAATTCGTAGAGAATTCAATTCAACAAATATTTATTGCGTATGTACTGTCTGCAAAGCACTGTGCTGTGCCCTTAGATACAGAGGATTAAAGCATATTCCATCACACTGTGTGAGGCTGGCACATAAATAATACAAGGGAATAGCTGGATGCCTCTGTAAAATCCCACCTCACCAACCTGGATATTGCCAGGCTCAATCCAGTTCTGATCCAAAATAAGTAACACATGATTTCTGCAGTCAAGAACATTAGTAACGGTAAAGTAAGAGTTGTAATATACGCTGCTTTTATTACATTTTCTTAGTGACGATGAAGCTTCGATTGAAGCTTTTTATTTTCTTACCATCTTCTGGGAGCCGTCTAAAATGAAAAGTTGTCAATGATTTGCTTTCATCTGAAAGATGCACAATAAGTAATGTGCTACAGAAAGTAGCCCCACATTTTTATTAGTGCTGAAAATATACTTAAATAATGAACCTGACCTATGCTTATTAAAATTGTCAATTATATTACAATAAGGGGCGATCTGAAGAGCAAGATATGACTTCCTATTGACCTTGATGACTGGGCAATAGAGAGAGAAAACAGGTAAGGTTTAATAGGGTTACGAGCAGGATAATTTACCTAGGTGAAAAATAATCTCTACACAAGTGAGTTTGCAACACAAGATAAAGATTTGGGAGAAAAATACTGGACTAAAGTCTAAAAATGAATTAGCAAAAGAATGCTGTTCCTAAGAAAGCTAGTAATAACTCAGGACTTAACTAAGAAAAATAGAGTGTAAAATATCTAAAAGTATCAGCAGATTGACCACCAATCAGGGCTGCACTGGGTTCTATAAATTTAAAAAAGATGCAGGGAACTCAGAGTAGTGACCACAATCCTGGAGCAAAATGACAATACTGCTATTTTGGTATTTGTTTTGTATCACACTGAACAGTTTTTTATTTAAAAATTGTTCAGCATTCTTAAACCTTTTCTTTAAAAATCAGTGAAACAAGATACTTAATATTTCTAAATACAAAATTTATAAGTTATAAAGATCAGGTAAAACATAAATTATAAAATTTATATATCATTCTAAATGTTTATATCTATACATCTATATCTAGATATAGTATAGAGGTTCCTTAGAAAACTAAAAACAGAGTTATCATATGATCTAGCAATACCAACTCCTTGGCATATATCCAGAGAAAAACAATTTGAAAAGACACATGGACCCCAATGTTCATTACAGCACTATTACAATAGCCAGGACATGGAAGCAACCTGAATGCCCATCAACAGAGGAATGGATAAAGAAGATGTGGTACATATACAATGGAATATTAACTCAGCCATAATAAGGAACGAAATTGGGTTATCTGTAGAGACATGGATGGACCTAGAGACTGTCATACAGAGTAAAGTAAGTCAGAAAGAGAAAAACAAATATCGTATATTAATGCATACATGTGGAATCTGAAAAAATTGGTATAGACGATCTTACTTACAAAGCAGAAACAGTGACACAGAAGAAGAGAACAAATGTATGGATACCAAGGGGGAAGTGTGGGGGAATGAACTGGGAGATTGGGATTGACATATATACACTATTGATACTATGTATAAAACAGATAACTAATGAGAACCTACTGTACAGCACAGGGAACTCCACTCAGTGTTCTGTCATGACCTAAATGAGAAAGAAATCCAAAAATGACAGTATATATGTATACATATAGCTGATTCACTTTGCTGTACAGTATAAACTAACACAACATTGTAAAGCAACTACACTACAATAAAAAATATAAACAAATAAATAAAAATTAGATATAAATTTTAAGAATAGAATTAATAAAAATAAATTATTCTAAAAAATTAAACCCTAACAGAAATTTTATTTGATTTTTGTGTTATTTTAAAAAACAGAGTACCTCATTAATGTGAGTAAATTTTCATGCAGATTTTTCCAGTTGCTTGTTCTGATGCAGTATACTCAGATAAATAGTGGGGGAGATAAGAATTCGTTTACTCCATGTCTTATTGATAATTTTGAAAAAAAATTTGAACAACTTTTTGTTTTCCAGCAAAGACTACAATCTGTATTGATACTGAAATGTTAATTTTTTTCCCAAAGAAAACTGTTCCTATTATATCAGTTTTCATCATGTATAAATTAACTATCAATTTAAGTACTTTTATATTTATATTCACTTCTCTGAAAATCACTGAAATAGACACTGAGATAGTCTTACACTGGAAACTTCATTTTGTTGTCATTCTCCTCTGTCTTTAGAGATACTTGAAATCTGAACAGATGCATCTTTGTCCCCAGATTTTCAATTCATTATTAACTCTCTGGGTAGAGGAGAGATTGGTTAAGCAAATAATTCCATCGTAAATAGATTAACTGGATAATTAATCTTAATCAAGATTTAATGTTCTAGATTACAAACTGGCCAGTACATGCATACCCCCAGAGCTGATGTCTCCAGCAGCTACTAGCTCTGAGGCTTCCTTCAACTTCAGGCCCCCTACTTGCCCTTGCCCAGTGCTGTGGCAACCTTACAGCTGCTGCCTGTGTTACAGCTCAGATGCTGGTAACTTCTACATTTTCAGCATTTATTTAGCACTTTCTTCCCCCTCCCAACCCCCAGCAGAGCTTCCAATCACAACTACTAGGCAACAACCTAATTATAATTATATTTCCTTTCCCAACCAAGCAGGAGGGATGGCCTTACTGGGCTTAACTCTTCTTACCCAAAGGAGAGATACACCAGCTTCAGATAGCTGCCCATTCTTCCACTCTCACAGTTTTTCTGGTTGGAAGGGTAAGGAAGAGAGGTGAAGATGAAAGAGAGGGGAGATGTTGAAGGAACTTAAAGAGCTGTCAGAGGCTTATGGCAAAGAACCAAAGCCTAAAGAGGGGTTTAGCAGGGCTAGAACAAAGTCAAGAAGTGAATAACACTAAGCTAGCAGATGTTAGAAATAAAGGAGTTTTATCCACAAAAATACTAGTATTTCAGCATTGTTTTCCTTTTTTTTCTTTTTAATTGAAGTAGAGTTGATTTACACTGTTGTGTTAGTTTCAGGTGTACAGCAAAGTGATTCATATATATACATATAAATATATTCTTTTTCAGATTCTTTTCCATTACAGGTTATAACAAGGTACTGAATATAGCTCCCTGTGCTCTACAGCAGGGCCTTGTTGCTTACCTGTTTTAGGTAGCGTAGTCTATATTTGCTAACCCACACTCCTAACTTATCCACCCCCCACCGCCCCCACCTCCCACCCCACGGTCTTCTTTGGTAACCGTACGTTTGTTTTCTATGTCGGTGAGTCTTTCTGTTTTGGAAATAAGTTCACTTCTATCATTCTTTTAGATTCCACATGTAAGTGATATCATATGGTATTTATCTTTCCCTGTCTGACTTATTTCACTTAGTGTGACAATCTCTAGGTCCATCCATGTTGCTGCAAATGGCGTTATTTAATCCTTTTTTATTGTTGAGTAATATTCCACATCCTCTTTATCCATTCATCTGCTGATGGACATTTAGGTTGCTTCCATGTCTTAGCTATTGTAAATAGTGCTGCTATGAACGTTGGGGTACATGTATCTTTTTTTTTTCCTTATTCTAGTAAAATAGCTTTACAGCGTTGTGTTAGTTTCTGCTGTACAATGAAGTGAATCAGCTATATGTATACCTATATCCCCTCCCTCTTGGACCTCCCTCTCCCCTTTCAGTTTCCACCTTTTCCAGATACATGCTCAAGAGTCAGATTGCTGGACCATATAGTAACTTTATATTTACATTTTTTCCCTTGGGTTAATATGTAGTACCTTTCATTGAAACTAATTTGCCTTTCCTAATTATATTTTCCTTGAGCTAATATCATATTCATAGTTAAAAAAAAGTGGTTCAAGGAGTTTAAGACTACACAATTACCTTTGTACAACTGAAAAAGTAGATAATTCTTATATGAATAATCAAGACCAAGTATTCTAAAATTATTTTCCATTGAATAAAATACTGAATCCAAGGTATTTTTTAAATGCTTTTAAAGAAAAGAGTGGGGCTTCCCTGGTGGCGCAGTGGTTGGGAGTCCGCCTGCCGATGCAGGGGACGTGGGTTCATGCCCTGGTCCAGGAAAATCCCACATGCCGCAGAGCGGCTGGGCCCATGAGCCATGGCCGCTGAGCCTGCGCGTCAGGAGCCTGTGCTCCGCAACGGGAGAGGCCACAACAGTGAGAGGCCCACGTACCACACACACACAAAAAAAGTGATATTTTTCATTTTATAATGTATCTACTTAATAATCATTTTTTCTATATGCAACTAATTGTGAGGTCTGACAATTTGAATTAATTTCTTAGAAATTCTATTATCAATTAGCTTAAAATAAGTCCAGATTAAGTACTAATGAATGATTATTTATAAAAACAATGTTAAGACTGATAACCAAGTTAACATTTAATAGAGGAAAAAGCTTAAATAATGACCCTTAAAAAAGTGTCAATTTCTTGAATAAAGAAAAATCCATAATGCCAACTTCACTCAGTATGTGAAATGTGCTTAGTTATGATTAAAGTCTAAGAATCAATGCTCACGTTAACCTATTAATTTCTCTAGATTTGTATTTTCTTCTATTTGCAGTCTCTATCTTCCTGTATAGCCAAAAAGATATACAGAGAAATTTTGTAAAAATTACTATGTTAACCAGAATAATAAAACTTAGGTATCTCTTCTAGCATACAGTTAAAAATAACGAAAAACAAAATTTTCCTGGACAAATATTATTATAAATGTTAAAAGCAGTGTACAATAGCAATATACTGAATCTGGTGGGAAAAATGTTACAGACCTTTTCTACCCTAACCTCTATCAAGAATAGCTCTACAGGGACTTTCCTGGTGGTGCAGTGGTTAAGACTCCACACTCCCAATACAGGGGGCCCAGGTTCAGTCCCTGGCCAGGCAACTAGATTCCCGCATGCATGCTGCAACAAAGAGTCCGCATGCCACAACTAAGGAGCCTGCATGCTGCAACTAAGGAGCCTGTGTGCTGCAACTAAGGAACCCACGTGCCACAACTAAGGAGCCGGCAAGCCACAACTAAGACTCAGTGTAACCATAATAAATAAATAGTTCTACAAATGAATATCATATCTAAAAGACAAAGTGTATAAGAAAAAGTGACAAAATAACAATGCCTTAGGCCTGAATAAGTCAATATTCCTACACCAGAATCAAATGCACCAATCATTACTTACTCAGACATTCTTTCAAAGCCAAAGCCTGAACATTAGCTAACTGTTTCTCTCTCTGTATAAGTTGCTCCCCAGAGAAATTTGGAAGTGACAAGAGGTCAAGAGGAAAGCCTGAAAAACAGAAAAAAGTCAGTATTAAAGATGATTTGTAACAAAAATTAATATTCAGTCCTCAAGAAATGTGTTATAACATAATTAAAAGTCAATTACTCATCTTTCTTGACCTTACATATTTCAAAGTAAATAATAATAATTGAGCAGCAGAAAATAAGTGTACTAAATTATTTTGCATTTTAAACTTTGACCTGCTTCTTAAGTTGAGAGAATTTAGGTAGCAGAATAGAATTCCTTCCACCACCTTTTCTTCTACCTGCTTGGCTATTGAAACTCTTACACAAAACACAGAGTATGGGAGCTGGTCTCCAAAGACGGCCTCCCAGTGAATCACACTTCCTGACACTCATTCGCCGCGCAGTCCTTCCACAGTGAATCTACGTTGGCCTCACGTAACTAATAAGGTGTGGTAAAAGTGACAATGAATGGCTAGGTCACAGGAAGCCTTATAGCTTCTTAGAACAACTGCTCTAAGAGCAGTTAGCAACCACAGAAGGAATCAGACTCCCCAGAGACCATGTTGTTGTGAGGAAGCCCATGTTGGCCAGGAGGACAGGACACGTGAAGAGGAAGTAGGCTCGCATCTGTTCCAGCCATCCTAACCCAGGCATCGCGCATGCGGGTAAAGAGCCATCTTACACACCAAGCCCTGTTAAGTCTTCAAAATGATTGAAGCCCCAGCTGTGTGTGACTGCAGTCTTATGTGGATCTTCAAAACAGAAACATCCAGCTGAGCCCAGTCAACCTACAGGACTATGAGACATTATAGTAAATCGTCATTATTAAGCCGCATTTGGGGTAGTGTGTCATACAGTGATAGGTAACCAAAGCGTGGAGCCTGGAGAGAAAAATAAAAAGATGGGCAATAAAATAGAACGAGACACTTGAGAGAAAGTAAGTGAAAATAAGAAATAAATTCTAGAAAAATAATACTTGTTTAAAGTGGAAAACACTAAAAATTTTCCTATTTGGAATTGAAGGCTGGCTTACTAAATTTTACTAAGTATAATGTATAAGGGATTAATTCTCTGCACTCTAAACTGTCCAAACATGTTATAAAATATTTAAAATAAAAGTAAATTTACTGAAAGTGAAACGGAGTTTGGAGACAATAAGTTCATTAGAAGTTAAGTATGTACACAAAGAAATGTAAAAATGTTTTGTTTTCCACCTAAAGTTAACACTTACTCAGTTTGGTCTCTTCTGTCTTTGCTTTCATCTTTCCATGAATTAAACTGAGTGCAAATGAGCCATTGATTTGGTTGGCTGAGTGAATCAATGTGGCTTTACACTTTCTGTTGCCATTACCTTGTAACAAGAGATAATAGCTAGAACTCTCTCCTTTCACTTCAACATCTGGAACTAAACAAAAACAATCATTTTGTTAAGTATGCAAAAATTCAGCAGGCAACATGGCAGAATCATACATTTGATCCATAGGATATAATGACATGTTTATGTTATTTCAAAACAAGGTGTTACCCAATACATTTGGGGCAGTAGTTGTTCATTTAACTGAGGAAGCTGTTAAAGCAGAGAATCATAACAAAAAAGATACTCACAAAGCATATACATTTTACTTTAAATTAATGTAAAGTAAAATTTACATATATATTTTACTTTAAATTAAAACTATGTGTACTCATTAACTTTTTTTTTACCCCAATCTATATATATATATATCTTTCATTTTAACATCTTTATTGGAGTATAATTGCTTTACAATGGTATGTTAGTTTCAGCTTTACAACAAAATGAATCAGTTATATATATACATATGTTCCCATATCTCTTCCCGCTTGCGTCTCCCTCCCTCCCACCATCCCTATCCCACCCCTCCAGGCGGTCACAAAGCACCGAGCTGATCTCCCTGTGCTATGTGGCTGCTTCCCACTAGCTATCTACCTTATGTTTGGTAGTGTATATATGTCCATGTCTCTCTCTCGCTTTGTCACAGTTCACCCTTCCCCCTCCCCATATCCTCAAGTCCATTCTCTAGTAAGTCTGTGTCTTTATTCCTGTTTCACCCCTAGGTTCTTCATGACATTTTTTTCTTAAATTCCATATATATGTGTTAGCATACAGTATTTGTCTCTCTCTTTCTGACTTACTTCACTCTGTATGACAGACTCTAGGTCTATCCACCTCATTACAAATAGCTCAATTTCGTTTCTTTTTATGGCTGAGTAATATTCCATTGTATATATGTGCCACATCTTCTTTATCCATTCATCCGACGACGGGCACTTAGGTTGTTTCCATCTCCGGGCTATTGTAAATAGAGCTGCAATGAACATTTTGGTACATGACTCTTTCTGAATTCTGGTTTCCTCAGGGTATATACCTAGTAGTGGGATTGCTGGGTCATATGGTAGTTCTATTTGTAGTTTTTTAAGGAACCTCCATACTGTTCTCCATAGTGGCTGAACCAATTCACATTCCCACCAGCAGTGCAAGAGTGTTCCCTTTTCTCCACACCCTCTCCAGCATTTATTGTTTCTAGATTTTTTGATGATGGCCATTCTGACTGGTGTGAGATGATATCTCATTGTAGTTTTGATTTGCATTTCTCTAATGATTAATGATGTTGAGCATTCTTTCATGTGTTTGTTGGCAGTCTGTATATCTTCTTTGGAGAAATGTCTATTTAGGTCTTCTGCCCATTTTTGGATTGGGTTGTTTATTTTTTTGTTATTGAGCTGCATGAGCTGCCTGTAAATTTTAGAGATTAATCCTTTGTCAGTTGATTCATTTGCAAATATTTTCTCCCATTCTGAGGGCTGTCTTTTGGTCTTGTTTATGGTTTCCTTTGCTGTGCAAAAGCTTTGAAGTTTCATTAGGTCCCATTTGTTTATTTTTGTTTTTATCTCCATTACTCTAGGAGATGGGTCAAGAAGGATCTTGCTGTGATTTATGTCATAGAGTGTTCTGCCTATGTTTTCCTCTAAGAGTTTGATAGTTTCTGGCCTTACATTTAGGTCTTTAATCCATTTTGAGCTTATTTTTGTGTATGGTGTTAGGGAGTGATCTAATCTCATACTTTTACATGTACCTGTCCAGTTTTCCCAGCACCACTTATTGAAGAGGCTGTCCTTTCTCCACTGTACATTCCTGCCTCCTTTATCAAAGATAAGGTGACCATATGTGCGTGGGTTTATCTCTGGGCTTTCTATCCTGTTCCATTGATCTATATTTCTGTTTTTGTGCCAGTACCATACTGTCTTGATTACTGTAGCTTTGTAGTATAGTCTGAAGTCAGGGAGCCTGATTCCTCCAGCTCCATTTTTCTTTCTCAAGATTGCTTTGGCTACTCGGGGTCTTTTGTGTTTCCATACAAATTGTGAAATTTTTTGTTCTAGTTCTGTGAAAAATGCCAGTGGTAGTTTCATAGGGATTGCACTGAATCTGTAGATTGCTTTGGGTAGTATAGTCATTTTCACAATGTTGATTCTTCCAATCCAAGAACATGGTATATCTCTCCATCTATTTGTATCATCTTTAATTTCTTTCATCAGTGTCTTATAATTTTCTGCGGCTCATTAGCATCCATTATGTCTTTCCTATATATTCACACCCGTAACGTATCAACTACTATTTCCAGCTTCTCTTTCTTTAAAGTGGAATAAACTGATGCCTGCAAGCACACACAGCTCAAATGGTGGGAGCAGAAGTGTACAGATATACTTAAGGGTAGCTTTTTGGTCCCTGCAGTGCGCATCCATAATGTATTTTACAGGAGGATTGGAGAGCATTCATTAATCTGGCTTGCCAGTAATATGAAGGTCAGTTAAGACAGTCTAGTGCATTTTAAAAACAAATCAAGTGAGGGTTATAGTGAAGGCTGAGGAAAAACTGTGAAGCCTTTGAGACTAAAAATAGAAGTAGAATCCCTTTTGTTGAAGATGGTGAATTGGACATAAGCATTTATTTTCATTATCTCCTGAAATTCCATGAAATGAGAATAAATTTTAAAATAGCATAAAGCTACAAGAACCAATATCTGAGAGAAGAGACAATAGCAACTAAACCTTAAGCAGGAAAGCAGATGAACAATTGGTAACAGACCTCAGACTCTCAATTGTTAAGGAAGCTGAGAAAAACAATAGGAAAAGCTTGGAAACAACAAAATTTATACTATAACCCCTGACAAGAGACTCTGGGATGGCACCACAAACAAAATCAAGGTGAAATAAGAAAAGATGTTGAAAGTCTATCTGAGAAGCAGTTCGGCTTCTGACCTCTTCTTATTCTATTCAGGCAAATGACTGTCCTCTCCCCAGCCCAGAAGACTAGTGGTTATTCTCTGGAGAAAGTAAAACAAAATGCCTCTGGCCTGGGAGATATAAGACAGAGCTTAGGGTTGGAGTTGAATATCATTGCATTAAGTGAATGCTTGTATAGTGAATATTGAGGCCCTTTACCTTTCTTCACCTAAATAACTTCCACCATTTTGGAAGCCAGATAGCAGAATTGAGCCTTCTTTTAGAAATACGGTCAGTACTAGGGGAAGGACCAAAGAATTCCAACCTTGGGATTGCCTAATGTCTCAGTGAGATCACCCTAAAATGAAGATCAAAGTCAACAAGCTTCAAACATGCACTCAAATTTTCCAATCAGCTTTTTCATACCCCCTCTTAAATATGAACAGGCAGCCAAACATTACGGGACATCAGGGAAAGTCTCTAGTATGAAAACCATATGACAAAGCAAGGAAACAGAAACAAAGTGACTTGTAGAGAAGCAAAGAATATACAGTAAAAAGAAATCATAAAACAAAAGCAAACAACAGACAAATCAGGCACTAAAATCCTCAGAGAAGAGACTATATTGCATCCATTAAATAAGAACAGGAAATTGTAAGAAAAGAACATTAAATAAGAAAGAGCTCATGGAAATTAAGAAAGCAGAAATATATATTTCAACTAAAAGGTTAGCATATAAAGTTCAGTGAATCTATCAGAAAGTAAAAAGTCAAAGAAATGGAAAATAGGAAGAGAGACACACACTAACCAGGAGGAACAACATGCAAACAGGAATATTAGAAGAGAGAATATTAAAAAATGGAGGGAAGGAAATTATCAATAAAATAATTATAAGAACATTTTTCCTGGGAATACCCTGGCAATCCAGTGGATAGGATTTGGCACTTTCACTGCTCGGGGCCAGGGTTCAATCCCTGGTCGGGGAACTAAGATTCTGCAAGCTGTGCAGCACAGCCAATAATAATAAAATAATATTTTTTTTCCCAATAAAAAGACAAGCTTCCAGTCATGCTAGAATAAAATAGACACACCAAAAATAAAAATAGACCCACCAAGGTACATCATCATGAAAATTCAGAAGACTAAGAACAACAAGTATATTCTACAAAATACCAGAGAAAACTTAGGTTTCTTATTTAAAAAATGAAAAATGAGAATGGCACAAGACTTCTAAGTAACCACACGAAAAGCTGGAAAACAATGGGACAATTGGGAACGATGGGAACAATGCCTTCAAAATTCCACTGGAAAAATATTCTCCAACCTAGAATGCTATATTAAAATGAGACGGTAGAATAAAAACTCTTCTAGGCATAGAGGGTCTCAAAAATTTCCCTCCTATGCACCTTCCCTCCTATGCACCTTTTCTCAGGATGATTTTAGAGAATGTGCTCCACCAAAATGGGAAAATGAAAAAAACAGGAAGATTAAAGGATCCCAGGAACCAACAAAGAAAGGCAAACAAAATTTCTATGATGAAAAGAGTCTTAGATCCAAAAGCTAAGGAACAAATCTGGAAAGTAAAACCAACCAGTCTAGATTAGGCAGGTCATAAAGATCCAGAAGAAATTTCTTACATATACATGACTGATAGGATAGTTAATATGCTTTAATGTACTGAAAGGAGTTTCACAACTAGGGGAAGGCTTTGGATTGAATTAAAAAAAAAATCATTAACTCTAGGTAAAACAAAATATTGTACAGGAAAGAAAAATAAAATATAGTACATGGCTCAACTGTGAATAGTGATTACATCATCATAATAATTAAAACAGTGAACATTAATCTAAAATTACTATATGATCATTCTGGGAGGACTGAGAAGAAAATGAGAAATGAGGAAGAATGTAAAGGAAATGAGAAGAATGTCAGCGTGTAGTAAGGGCAATGAGTAAAAAAGGATTCATACTTCTCAGTGTGGGAACTTACTATGAAGCTACAGTAATCAAGACAGGGAGGCACTGGTATAAGGACAGACATACAGATTAATAGAACAGAGCTGAGAGTCCAGAAATATGCCCTCACATTTACAGGCAAATGGTTTTCAATAAAGGTGCCAAGACAATTTGATGGAGAAAGAACAGTCTTTTCAAAAATGGT